AATCAAGTGTTGGACACGCAACCAACTGAGCCACTCAGGCACCCCGGGAAGTTTTTTGATTACTAATTCAATTTCACTGCTGACAATCAGTCTGTTCAAATTTTGTATTTCTTCTTGATTCAGTCTTGGGAGGTTATATGTTTCTAGGAATTTATCCATTTTTTTTATTTGTCTAATTTGTTGGCATATAATTTTTCATAATTTTCTTATAATCCTTTGCATTTCTGTGTTGTCAATTGTTAATTCTCCTCTTCCTTATTTCATTTATTGGAGTCCTCTCTTTGGCTAATGGTTTATCAATTTTGATGATCTTTTCAAAGAACCAGCTCCTAGTTTCATTGATTTGTTTTATTGTTTTTTAGTTTCTATTTCATTTATTTCTGCTCTAATCTTTATTATTTCCTTCCTACTACTGGTTTGGGATTTTGTTTGTTCTTTTTCTAACTCCTTTATGTGTAAAGTTAGATTATTTATTTGAGATTTTTCAACAAGAAACACATTTTTAACGGGCGTGATAAATACAAATTTAGGGTAATGGCTATGTCTTGAGGGAAGGTAGAGGGATGGGATGGGGAGGAACATATAGGTTATATAAGTTATTTTTCTTGGGTAAAATGGTGGGTTCATGGGTATTATTTTAAAAATGAAAATAAAATAATGGAGGGCAATGCATAGGTGGCAAAAAAAAAAAAAAAAAAAATTAGTAAGATGTAAAATTAAATGCCCTAAGAAAGAAACAATCTTTATGGGATATTAAACATGTCTAACTATTAAGACTGGATTTTTGTTTTAAATCCAGAACATGTATATCCAAGATGAATGTTACTTTTCAAAAGTATCTACCACATGTGACTACAAACATAAATTCCAAAACATGCAACCACTGTTTACCTTTGAGAAAGAACTGACAAGATACTCTAAAAAGTAAGCTTTTAAAATATTATCTTCATAAAAATCTCTTTTACTAAATTAATTTAATGAGTAGGATCGGAATAATCTTTGGTTGTTTCCTAAACTCAAATCACTCTCTACAGACAATAATCACCACTGGGGATGTTTAAAAGAATAAGACAAATCTCAGAGATCAGTCTCCAAAAGTTGGCAATGAGAGAAACACCAAAATAAGAGCATGGTTACTACTTGGCTATGAACCTCGGCTATGAACAATATCCCATGGAAACATTCAAGGACAGTGGCAGCCATAAAGAGTGCAGCCTTCTCAAATGCAGCAACATGAGGTGGCTTCAGAATACCTGAAGAAGGCCTGCCTATCCAAACACAGGGGAACTACTGTTGAAAGGGATTTTGAGTGGCCCTCCAGTTGTTGCATTTAACCAGACTGCGGTCTTACATTTATAATTGCTACTTTAATACCTGCACTGTCTTTAATTTTTCAAGGCTGTAACGTATCTATTAAATTATTTTATTGTCTTATTAATTCTAGGAGATATTTGGCATTCTTCTCCATTTTACAGATAAGCAAACTGAAAATGTGAAATTATTTAGAGTTTATGGCAGCATCAGATCCCAAATCCAAGTCTCCTAACTTTCAGCTCTGTGCTTATTCTACTAGTCTAAACCAAATATAAACATCTAAACCAAAAAAACCTGCTTTGAACAACGAGAAAGGCAGACTCAGATCCATATCTCAGAAACAATACTTACTGCAAGCTGTAGAGCCAGTTCAAACTGCTTGTCCTGGAGAAGCTGTTGGATTTGGGTTGCCATGGGGACAGGAATGAGTCTCCAAACAAAATGATTGCTAGCCACATAGATAATATTTGATCTGGGGGCAGGAATAAGAGGATCAGCAAAAGGGCACAGGCTTTATGATGACATAGGTGATTTTAAAGCTTTGCAATATGGCAGCTACAGTAAAAAAAGAAATTCCTTACCCTCCCGAGGTAATGAAGCGGGGCCTTTGCAATTCAATACTCTGGACCAGAAGCCTCGGTTCAAATGTTCGGATCTCCACATATCGAGGCAAAACTGCAATGATGTAGGGAGGCTGGTGCTCTAAACAAGAAAGAACACCTTGAATTGCAGATCTGGTCTATGAACTGCTTCAGTTTCCCATTTCTAAGCTGCACTTAAACAGGATCTCCCAATAGTCCACTAGTCAAATACCAAGTCAGGATCCTACATTGTGATATCCAAAGGGAAAAAATGTTTTGCCCAAGTGATGCTAAGAGAAATCTCTTGCACAAGAAGGATGCATCCAGCTTCGCTGACAGTGACCTGATCCCACTCCTACCATCTCCTCCAAAGGACTGGGTGAAAGCTTCACCTGCTCCCTTTCTCACCAGTCACAAAATTAAGCCAGAGAAAGGTCAGTGGCAGCTGCCCCTAACAATGCATCAGAGGGAGAATAAGGTTACAAGACCTCTTCTTTCATTCTCTTAGGAAGGGCAGGAGGAAGGTAACTTCTTTTTTCCCTAAAATGAGGCTAACAAAAGAATTCCACATTTCTGGCCAAAGTTATTTCTGCTTAAGATTTTCACAGGGAAAAGATGCACACTCCACCTGATGCTTAATGGTTACAGAGAAGGCAGCTGGATGGCATTCTCAGGGTAGCAGTTGTCTACCACTGATGTGAGGTATCTAGAAAGTAGAGGAGTGGTTGCCAAGGGCTGAGGGAGAGAGAAATGGGTTGTTACTTAATAGATATGGAGTTTTAGTTTCGCAAGATGAAAATATTCTGAAATTTGTTGCATGACCATATGAATATATGTAATGACTGAACTGTATGCTTAAAAATGGTTAAGGTGATAGATTTTATGTTATTTTTTATCACAAAACTGAAAATTTTTTAAATGTAAAAAAAATAGTAAGAAATGAACCACTAGATGGCATCATTATCAAAAAGAAATGTAACCTCAAAGAATGTATTTGTAGTTTCTTAGTCTGGCTAACTTCCTATGAATTTATTTTCCTCATTTATTTTCCGATAAAAAGTTTTTCATATTATGTTTGCAATTTACACTCTAAATACAGTAAAAAATTTACAGCCAGAAGGGACCTGGCCTAAGTAATACTTCTATCACTTTGAACACCATCACTGTTATTAGGCTGGTATTTTTCATCTTACAAAAAAAAATAAAGTAAAATAAATGTGGTTTTGTGTTGGATTTTTTACTTTTTTTTTTTTTGCTGGCCTCCTTTTTAAAAGCTAGTACAATTCCCTTCGGTGTTAATTTGTATAAATTTGTAAAATTTCTCTCCTTTAATCTGGTCTAATTTAATGAAAAAGGTAATCTATAATAGAAGCACTCTTATCATTGCCCAGTCTCCTCAACTCTTTGACGACAGAGATGGTCTATATCTGTTTGTATCTTCAAAACTTGGCAGAGTGCCTGGTATACAGCAGATATATAACAAATTGCCAACAATGACAGTGATTCACCTATTCAGCAAGCATTTCCTAAAAGGCTATGTTTCAGGCCCTACTCAAAGTGGATCAAGACATGAGTCCAGGGTTCACAGGGCTCCTACATGAGCACAGAAGACAGCTCAACTGTATCCAGTGAGACAGTGTGGGCACCATGACAGGGAAAGCTGAAAGAGCTTTGGAAGCAACAAGGGGAAGTGACTAATTCTGCCTGCGCATCAGAGAAGACTTCACAGGGGGAAGTACCACTGAATAGGGCCTTGTCATGTGAGCTGGACAGGGCCAGGCAGAGAAGAAATCAAGAGACAACAGCACGTGTGATGATCACTCAGTGAGGGGGGGTTCCACGATGACTGGAGCCTGGGTGAAGTGGTAAAGTTGAGAGCAGAAATATAAATGAAGTTTAAAATGCACACCATCTAAGGAGTTTAGTCTTCCTCTGTCCAGTGGTGATTCTCCCACCCTACCTAGAAAGAATGCCTTCTCCCCACCTCACTATGTTAAGGCACAGAACTGTTTCTGAGAAACACTGCTAAAGGCAATGGGCGCTAACAAAGGAACTCATACTAGGGAATCAGAAACATCCTTCAAGCGTATTACACACATCTTCATCAGTTCTCCCACAGCTCCTCTTCTGAAGGGAAAACAAGGGCCGCCTAGAATACCACACGAAGCTTCTCGCGCAGCTCTGAGCCCCTCAAACTTGTTAATATACATAATCTCGGGCCTTATAAAATATTGTCCTTTTGATTTATCTTCCTTCTGAACCGTTCATCTCTAACCACCACCAAAATACCCTAGAACCTGATGCTTTTATCCAAACATTTACCATTTAGGAATCTACTGTTCTGTGAGACCTTTGCACGGGCCTCTAACCGGCACTATCCTTATTCCTCCCCAATTTGAGCCACCTGTTTTAGCCAGGGCAGTCTCCCTGCCTGGTCCAGTCTAATCGTACCTATGTAATGAAACTTCTTCCTGAGAAGTTGAACAATGAACTTGTCGTTTCTCAACTACTGAATCTCAGCTCATCCAATTTAACCGCTCCAATGGTGCCTTATTTTATCTCTTTATCCAAGATGGAATCTTTACCTCCCCAGCTAGAGTCTTTAAAGATGGCATGTTTGTACGCCCCCCTCCACAGTGGTAACTATTTTTAAAATGCTCACTGTTCTGACTGAAAATGAATTGCTGCAAGGGTGGTCACATGCTTCCAGGCAATGCCACTGCTGAGAGCCTGAGGCAGGTGTAGGAGCAGAAACCCTTAACATGGAGGGCAGAGACTGACATCTAAATGCAATGTGCACCTCCAAGCTACAAAAGCAGAAGCGATAACCACCACATCAAAAACACTTCAATATTGAGTTGCATGTATTACAGGAATAAATAAGGAATTACCACTAATTTCGAAATGTAATCTATCTGGCAGAGGACACAATAAAACCATTAAAAAGAAGGTATAACAAAAAGGACTAAGAAGTAAAAATATACAGCAGTAGACAATCACTTCCTAAAACACACAACTCTGCTCATTTCTTTCCCCTGCAGGGGCAAAACCCAGCTTCCTACAAAAACCAGAATATCCCATTTTTAATGATCTTACAAACTTGTCTACTTATAGGAAGGGGAACTGAGAGTAAATGACACTGTAACCACAGTATGCTGAAGCTATGAAAGGGATTCCATTCTGTGAGGATGGCGCACAACCCCAGCCCACGGTGGGAAACAGCAGCTATAGTGGTCTCACCCATGGCCACTGGTATGTCTGTCCAGTTCAAGGCACATTTCTGTGTGCATATCCCCTCCTCATTGAGCACCACGGTGAGATCATCCTGACCCACAGCCACTTTTCCATCTGCCAGAGGTGCAACTAACGGCTCCAGCTGTTTTCCTGTTGGAAAGAGCTCTTTGATGGACCCCTTTCCATCCACCTATAGGAAGACACAAATTGAATCAACCAGCATTCTCTCGATAGAGGCACGAACATGGCCTGAAAAACCCAAATATAACTCCAAGCCTACAGAAGCCAATAATATTCCTTGCTTGGCATAAGGAAATATTATAGAGTTTGTTATGACAAATTTTGTCATCACAATGACAGAACCAGTTCTCTTTTTCTCTAACACAGAGGCACAAGCATCTGGCCTGGCAACTAACAATGTCAAGTGCTGGCGAGGATGCAGAGTGACTGGGACTCTCACTCGCTGCTGGTGAGAATGCAAAATGGTACAGCCATTTTGTTTGTTGGCTTCTTATAAAGTTAAATAGACACTTACCATACAACCCAGTAATCCCATTCCTTAGGTATTTGCTCAAGAGAAGTAAAAACTTATGTTTACACGAAAACCTGTATGCAAATGTTTATAGCAGCCTTATTCATAGTGGCAAAAAATTGGAAACAACGTTGTCCTTCAACTGATGAATGAATAAACAAACTATAGTACATCCATACCATGGAATACTACTCAGCCATGAGGAATAAAATGACACACACAACAATACAGATGGATGTCAAACGCATAATGCTGAGTGAAAGAAGCCATATTCAAAAGGCTACATACGGTAGGATTCCATTTATATGACATTCTGGAAAAGGCAAAACTATAAAAGATGAAGAACAGGTCAGTGATTACTAGAGGCTGGGGCATAGAAGGAGGGGTTGACTTCAGAGGGGCAGCATGATGGCAGTTTTTGGGTGATGGAGCTGCTCTGAATCTTGATTATGGTGGTGGCTACACAACTCAAGGCATCTGTTAAAACTCAGAACTATACATCAAAAAGAATGAATTTTACTGTATGTATATAAATGAATAATTTTTTAATAGCTTGGGTCTAAACCAAGATTTCCCACCCTCAAGACTGTACCCTTGAGAAGATGATGCCAGAATTCAAGACAGTCAGAGGGAGCCCGCTCCAGCTTCAGGTTCTGTATCCCTACCCCTCATGGACTTCTGCTGGCACCTAAATGCCTCACTGTTATTCTGCTAATCAGTCAGCTGGAGAGCAGTGACTCCTCTATGAGTTTGCAACTCTGATGCTGATAAAATGAGGACACTCTAACAACATAAATGTGGAACAGATATATTAACTAGATAAATAATGAAGAGCTAACATGGTGGGGAGTGGGGAAGTGGGGAGAAGTGAAGATGGAGAGAAAGACTTCTAGAATTGCCAAGTCTGGAATATGAGAGGGGTATAAAGCTCAGAAGTTTAGGTTATGCTATGAAATGAATGGTATATCAACCATTTCTACATACAGTATGACTACTGGAGGAAAAAAAAACAATGTCGTGGATATTGATACCACTTAGGAGAAGGAAAAAAAGTTGTAAAACAACGTGTATGATATCTTTGTAAATAGGCAGAAGTTCATATGCCCAAAGATTAACAGTAACTATCTCTGAGTCAATAGATTATGGATGATTTATATTTCCTTTACTTTCCTTATCTATATTTCCTTATTTTTTTATAATAAACACATGTGGCTTTCAAAATTTTAAAAAAGTAAAAATAATTTAAAAAATAAATATACAAAAAGATTTTAGGCAACAGGAAACTCAAGTCTTAAAAATGCTTAATACTAAAGTTAGTTTCTAATGCTTGAGGATTGAAGCCTTAAGATGGCAGTCTATGACAATGCTGTTGGACAGAGGCAAGCAGCCCTTATGATCTGTTCCAATAATTAAATACAAGATATGGATAATTCATGACGCTGCCTCGCTTCAGACATCTATTTGTGGAGATGCTGAGAAGCATAACATATAACCAAATATACAAACACAAGCCCTGTTATGCCCAAACGCTACTTAAGACAGTCTCTTGGCCTGTAGTTCAGACGTGCATAATCATGTCCCCCAGGTAAACTAATACATGCAAAATAATAAGTTTACCCTTATTAGGTAGTAGTCTCTCTTGAAACCCACACAGATAGAATTTTCACACCATGCCATGGACTTGGGCACATCTGGTACACTAAAGTCCCCCTGAGGAAAGAGAGCAAGAGTTCAAATGGAAAGATGTTAAAAGAAACCATGATCTTCCTGTTATTCCACGCCCACTCTGCAAAATGAACCTCACCCTCATCTAAACACAATTCTGTAAACACAAGGCTAGGAAATCATCTGTGATAAAAATTTAAGTCACCCATGAACTGGATGACTAGATGCCTTTGGAAAAGGTGAAAACCCACTCTGAAATAAACCCATGTGTATAAACACTGCTTCTGAAGGCCAAGAGACTCTTGATGAGTGAGCATGAAGAGGCTCTCAGGTACTTATGGCAGAGCCTTCACCTGGAGAGAACTCCAAGACTGAGGCCCTGACCTTCAGTATCACTGAACAGGAGTCTTTCAAGCGGTGAATCAACATGGACTTTACCTGCAATTCGTGAAATTCCCTGTCCTTCCAGAAATAGAGCTGCAGCTTCTTTTTCACTGCCACACACATCCGCAACACCTCCTCACCAGTCTCTGTGTGCTGGGAAGAGACACCCAGAGCAAATGAGGATGTGTATACGATGGCTCCACGACTGAGTGACCACTAAATGAGAGACTGCCTACCTTGAAATGGCTACGAATCTGAAAATCCCCTGTAATACAAAGTTACCCTACCAGACAAGCTGGGTGGAAGAACACCATTTTTCTAAAATGTACTTAGAAACAACAGGCTGAGGAGCACTTCCTCCCTGAGGGCTGCCAGTCAAAGGTCCCAACCCCAGCACATCTCTTAAACATTCATAATTCACACGGAAAATCCCAGGGCAGGCCTCCACCTATGCAAACGCTTCCTCTTTTTTTCTTAAATGTTTCTCACTCATGGATGTCAATATCTGCTGGTCAGGGATCAGCATGTGTCAGTGGCACTTTTAATCCTTAAAGGAACAGGGGAAAAGAAAATGTCTAAACATAAAACAAAGCAGTGTCAATGTAGACCACAAATACTAAAAAGCGATCAAGCTGAGTAGAGGGGTAAGGCAGATTTTGAATAATGTAAGGAGGATAAATTTGCAAAAATTAGGAGAAATGTCTTTCCTGAATAACAAAAAACACCCTCAAGACAAAGAAGACAATAATATGTTCAGAACAAGGTCAATATAATGTCCTATAGTTATGCCCATGATACTGATGGTACTGTTAAGTCTGGATTTTCCCCATAATGGTTTGTCCATGGCAAATGCTTTTTTTTTTTTTTAATGTTGATTCATTTTTGAGAGACAGAGACACAGTGCAAGTGGGGGAGGGGCAGAGAGAGAGAGAGAGAGAGAGAGAGAGAGAGAGAGAGAGAGAGACACAGAATCCGAAGTAGGCTCCAGGCTCTGAGCTGTCAGTACAGAATCCAATGCGGGGCCTGAACTCACGAACTGCAAGATCATGACCTGAGCTGAAGTCGGACCTTAACCCACTGAGCCACCCAGATGCCCCTCCATGGCCAATGCTTTTATCCTGAGTTCGTTGCCTCCTCTGGTGCTCTAATCAGCACACAAACAGGGAACCCAAATGTTTCACCTTCAGACCACATACAAAGGGGAAAATTTCTCTAATACAATCCAAAATCAAACATTTTCTTTGGATCTCTGCTGGGTTTGGATATCCATGTTATTCTTCCCATCTGATGGTAGGAATAATATAGGAAAGAATGTATTTATCAAAATACAATGTCAAAATTCATCTTGCCTAAACTTACCTCAAGGTCACATGTGAACAGTGATGCTCCCTTTGCCTTTGAAACCGTAGTGATTTGTTGAAATGTCAACAGGTCATGGACATAAATGTTATTTTCTGTTTGGAAGGAAGTATAATAACCCTATAAATTATCATAATTCTCCACACACATGAATAACTAACAAACAGAAGAACCGAAGTGAATGTTGGTTGAAGATGTATCTTTCAGTTTCACTAACAGTGAGTTATTCTGATCTATTATCAGAATTACACTCCAAAATGTTTAAGAGGTCACTTCTGTTCCTTTAAATTTGGGCTGGCTTGTGTAAGAGAGCTCTTTCACTAGCAAAGCCCTCTTATACTCAGTCTTCCTCAAGTCTGGAAATTTGTGATGCAGTATTTGTACAAGAATTGGCTTTCAAAGCTACTTCCATTAGGAGGCCTCAATAAAAGAAAGGGAATCCTCTGTGGACTTTGTACGATCCCATGATGAGGAATTCTTTTCTAGCTGCAAGCAAAATAATTTCACTCAGGCCTCCTATCTAGTTTTACTCATTAAGACATAGTTACTTTAAATGTTCCTCTCTAAACCTAGAAGCTAAGTTTAAAATTATTCTACCATTTGGGCCCTGGGCTGAACAGTACAAACGTGAGGCAAGTTTCTAGTTCTTTGTTGCCAATAAAAGGCCTCACTGGCTGCCTTCAATTGAATCTATGGCTTTTCAAACAAGGCCTGAATAGTCTGGCCTTGATCTGTCTCTCCCCTATCTCTTGTCACTGTGTCACTCTTCACCACACATCCTAAGTCTGGTCAGACTGCAGGACCTCTGCTTAAAATGCTCTGCCTACTTCTCCCTTCCTATCAAAATCCTAATCATCCACTAGATGATGCTGTCACTCCCATTACTAATATCCACAACATTTTTTATAAATTTCCATTGTAACTTATCACACTGAATCATGATTATTTTCTGTCATTTCAGTCTTTACAATCAGAACATAAACTCAAAGACAGAAACGATGTCTCTTTCAATTTGGTATCCCCAATGCCTAGGGCAGGGCTCAATAAATATCTGCTCAATATCAATAAATATCTGTGACTGAATGAATGAACAGCACTCCTTGGAGAACAGAGCTCAAGTTTATGAGAGATGCTGTTGTCTTTAATATTCGTGTACCCTGCTGTGTCTGGTGTGGTACAGGTCAGTTTCACTGACTCTCAAATTAACCATGAAAGAGTTAGTCAGGTCACAGTTTTTATTTTTTGACACATGAAATATAACTACAACCCCTTTTCTTACCTAACAAGCTGACCAGAATCTTAAACTGGGAAACCACATGGATCTGGAAAAGAACAAATCATTAGACTCAATTAAACATTTCTGACAGGGCTTAACAAAACTTCATTTAACTACAGTACTAAAAAGGGACTTGGGGTACAGGGGTGGCTCAGTCAGTTGAGCATCTGACTTCAGCTCAGGTCATGATCTTGCGGTCCATGAGCTCGAGCCCCGCGTCGGGCTCTGGGCTGACAGCGCAGAGCCTGGAGCCTGCTTCTGATTCTGTGTCTCCCTCTCTCTCTGCCCCTCCCCTGCGCATGCTCTGTCTCTCTCACTCTCAAAAATGAATAAATTTTAAGGGAAAAAAAAGGGACTAAAGAGTCTATGCCAATGACAGGAATCGGACTTATATTTATGTGTAATCGCAATTTCTGCTCATTATAGAGGATCTCAGGCACATGACGGATGGACCATGATCTCTGCGTAAGTGGGAGAACAGAGAGCAGAGGATTCAGAGTTATTAAAAATGTTACTGAAGTTCTAGTTTTGACATGGTCCCATAGAAGTCAAATATTCTTGTAGTGACCACCATCACTGCCTACCTGTTGAATCTTTTTGGAGAAGTTTTTATTGGATTTCTCTAGTGTCACTTCAAACCTGTTGCAACCTATGGAAAAGAAACAAACATTCACAGTTCCAAACACAGGGATACACGTAAAACTTAACTATAACAAAAAATGCTGCTCCATACTGCTCTACTACATGAATCTACAAATTCCTAAAAGACTAGAAGCTAGAGATCTACACTAGAGAGCTCTCTTCATTGAGTATAAGAAGTCACTTTCAATTCTAATTTTAGAACAGAGGGTTTCATGCACCTTCACTTGGCATTGGCAATCATATGATGGAAGTTCAGTGAAGCTACAAGGTACTTCTGAGTCTGAAGGTCTTATCCTGCAATATAGTACCTCGGCTAAGTGTTTGTAAAAAGTCACAAATATAAGAACCCAAGCAATGAAACCCAGCCCAAAGCATCCTCAGATCTAGACCAGCTAAATCCCAGCAGCTACCCTTATGTCCTGCATCACGAGACAGAGCAAACACTCAATACTAACCCCAGAACTAAAGTAATTTAATACATCTACACTTACTGCCACTTTCAGGAGATTCTACATCTGTTGGCACTGCTGCAAAAAGGGAAGAAAGTTACATACCACAAAAATATGTCATCCTAGCTTTGTGGGAATGACAAAAATATTCAGCCTCAAAAATCACCAAAAAGCCAAGAAGAGAATAATTATCATGACAATGACATAACAACAAACTAAGCAAAAACTAGGTGCTGGGTTCTGGGTTTAAAAATTGATGTATATTTTCTAAAACCTCACAACTATTCCAAGAAGTAGGTATTACTGTTCCAATTTCATATGTGAGGCACCTGACGGGTCAAGCAGTTAAGTAGCAGCCAGTGAGAAAGCGCCCAGAAGCAAACTCAGGACTGATTGGGAAGCCCGTGTGCTGAGCCTACACTCTATCTGTCTCCCAGCTTGTGAAGAGACTATTCAGGCTGCTGACCCCGGGCTGCTCCCCACAACTAGTGGGGCCCACACCACCAAAGCTGGTCTTACTTTTTCCACCTGTCCCTCAGCAAAGGAGATGAAGGGACTCTGGAGATTCAAGAGATTCAGAAATGTGTCCTGTATTCTGCCATTATATTTCACAAGAAAAAAAAAAAAAAC